GTTTATAGTGAACATAAAAGCTGATTTTTCCAGTACTGCTTCCCAACAACTCCAAACAGAGATTACAAAACAAAGAAAAGAAATGAGTTTTTAGTCTACCAGTCTTTTAGTCCTATTGGACCAAAATCAGGAAGGTTATCTGAAGAAATGCTTGTAAAGAAATGTCCCAGTAGGGACCACTCTTCTACATACTGCTCTCCAAAACTTAGTTGTTGAGAGTGATTGGAAACCTGGCATATATACAGAACAAAAAACAGATGGTGCTTTTCTAAAAAAGCATGATGATCTGCCTGGGAATAGCTGAGGTTTTTAGTGTTGATGTTGGCATGCAAGAATATCATTCTCTACAGACTGGCATTTAGTGGGAGAGGTCCTAGCCTACTTTCTACACACATACTAAAGACAAGTGTATGGCTTCCCAGAGCGTTATCCTTTTATGGAAGAAGATAATTAGGATATGAAGTGAAATTACAACAGGATATTCATATCAGTTACTTATGTTAATTGACTTAGTTCTTTATTTTAAAATATAAATGGCTAAATAAGGATCACCAGACATTTTAGGAGCATTAAGAATAAAAAAGAAATGGTCTAACATGAATAAACAGAAAAATTCAAAAAGAAAAATGTAATAATTTGTGGAGCAACCAAAACGTGAAAATACTGAGCATCACCTGAAAGAAATTAAAGATGATAAGATAAACAAAAACAAGCAAATAGTAATTAAAAAAAAAAAAACAAAAACAAAACTAGAGGCTGTCAGTGAATACAAACAATCAGAAAACAAGGAAAAATTATGTGATTGGATGGGAATCAAATATTCTGAGGGGGTCCTAGAATATTTGATTCCCAGCAGTCAATTTAAAGGTTAAACTGAAGAAAACCCAGAATATGTACCCTGTCAAGAAGAAACAGAGGCCCAGTCCAGCAGTGGTTCACGCCTGTCATTCTAACACTTTGGGAAGCTGAGATAGAGCTATGACTTGAGGCCAGGATCTTGAGATCAGCCTGAGCAGCACAGTAGACCCCTCTCTTTAAAAAATTAGCCAGGCATGGGGGCGTGCACTGGTAGCCCTAGCTGTTTGAGAGGCTGAGATGGGAGGATTACTAGTCCTAGGAGTTCAAGGCTACAGTGAGCTCTAGTTGTGCCCTTGCACTGCAGCCTGGGCAATAGAATAAGACCTTGTCTCTTAAATACACAGACAAGTGCACGTGCGTGCACGCACACACACACACACACACACACATACACACACACCCAGAGAGAGAGAGAGAGAGAGACAGAGAGAGAGAGAGAAACAGAAAATATGACAGCAAAATAAACAAAACACATCAATCCAGGAAGGATGATATTTAGCTAATAGAAATGAGAGAAAAGGGAACAGAGAAAAGAAAAATGGAAAAAATAAATTATCCATAAATTCTAAAAACTTTCAATTTCAAAATAACATGAGAATTGTTCCACATTTTATTATAAATTTTAGAATACTTAGGAAAAGAAAAAAATAATTCCAGATAGGGAAAATGAGATTTCACTGGCATTATTTCTTACCATGAGCAATTGTAATAGCCCTTTAAAATTCTGAGGAAACCTACAGTTTCTTGTTTCAAAAGCTATTATTCTATGCTGTGCTTTATGATGTTGGGACAAGGACTTGCAAATCACATTCCTCCCTTGCCACCTGGCTTCTTTGTTAATCTCTCACAATACAGGATGCTAGAGGGAGACTCACCTGCCAAAAGCAAACACACAAAGAAACACACAAATATATAACAAAGGGTACTGCTTTTTCCTGTTTGATTAATGTTCCTAGCTACATATCCCTAACGGTGCTTTTTCTCCCCATAGCATAGCTTTTTGTTTGCATTTCTCCACCACTTCCAGAACCAGTTTTACTCCTCTCATCCACATCCTTACTCACAGGCTGGACCTCTCCGAGGTTCCTGAGGTCTGGCACTAGCTCTATGAGGCTCCTTCTCAGAATTCCTGAGCTGCCCGTTGAGCATCCTTTGCTACCTCAGAGCCCTAGAGATGATATCTCCTTACTGACATTACTACTTCCATCACCTCTCTCTCTCTCTCCCTTTTTTTTTTGCCTTTTCAGTAATGCACCATCAATTTTTGACATTATTTTATTTTTTTGAATAGCTGGTGTGATTTTTCTCTCCTTTTTGGACCCTCCCTGACACAGCCCCCACCCCAATTTTAAAGTATGAAGGCAAAATATTAAAATTTTAAATGAGCAAAACTCTGAAAATTGTTACAGTAAACAGAAGGAATAATAGCTAGAGTTAAGCAGGAAGTTGGGAGATTCTTGAAAGCAGCTCTTCAAGAAAAAAAGTGGATTCAATGTGACAAATATGATTAAGAGGTTAATAATCATAGTGTAATAGTGAAAGCATAAGCTAAAATAGTGGCAATAAAATTCTTTAGGAAATAAACAAACTGAATAAGATCTATACAAATAAACCATCGTTCAAAATGGGTAGCAAATAAATAGCATAATTTTGAAAGACATTTATGAATATATAAAAACAAAAAATGTAATTGATTTGGATTGTCATCTGAAACTTATTTGGCAGAATAGTTAATTAGGTTTGATTATATATCCCTTTCTTTAGGAGTGTTATCACTACCTTGTTCTGAGATGAACATTATTCACACACTTTTAATAAGTTGTATTTTTTACCAATTTTTGAGATTAATCTAGAGTGGAAGACTTTATAAGAAAGTATTTGATTGAACCCCAAGGAAGTTAAAATACTAAAACATTATTATACATAGTTTCAGTTTATATACCTTTTGCTTATTTCAGAGGAAGAAAATATCTGGACTTGTTAGTAAATGTGTACTGTTCCACATTGACAAATTGTTTTACAAAAAGCCTAAAAATTAAAATTATTTACTTCCAAGGTTTTCACCAGAAATTAAGGCTACTTTGAATGAAAATTTTTACTAATCTATATTAGCAGTCTCCAGCCTTTTTGGCACCAGGTACCAGTTTTGTGAAAGACAATTTTTCCACAGACCGGGGCAGTGGGGGATGATCTTCTGATGATTCAAGTACATTATATTTATTGTGTACTTTATTTCTATTATTATTACATTGTAATATATAACGAAATAATTATAAAACTCATCATAATGCAGAATCAGGGAGAGCCCTGAGCTTGTTTTCCTGCAACTAGGCAGACTCATCTGAAGATAATGGGATAATATTTATGTATAAGATAATATTTATGTATAAGCCCAGATCATACCCCCAAACCAAAAGGCCATTGCTAATTCCCTGAAATCCTGCAATGAGATCCTCACCTCCAGGTTGGCTGCTTTACCTGAGAATCCACCATCTATTGACTGGGCTTAATACAAGGCCAACGTGGCCAAGGCAGGCTTGGTGGATGACTTTGAGAAGTTTAATGCCCTGAAGGTTCCTATGCCAGAGGATCCATATACTGCCCTGGTGGATGCTGATAGATGAGGAGGCATGATCTTCTCACAAGGAGCGTGCAACCTAGATTCTTCGCCTGCGCAATTCACAATAGTTATCACTGCTCCTGTGAGAACCTAATGCTGATGCTGACCTGACAGGAGGCGGAGCTGAGGCAGAGTTCAGTTGGTAACACCAGTGATGGGAGTGGCTGTAAGTACAGACGAAACTTTGCTCCCTTGCACGAAACTCACCTCCTGCTCCACAGCCGGGATCCTGACTATTCAGGGTCCCAGTCTGTGGCCCAGGGTTTGAAGACCTCTGATCTATATAATTAAAACTATATATAAGAAACAGTTCTGTATACATTGTGTATGAGAAAAGTAAAATGTTACAAGGTATGAGGATGTATTTTTGTTAAATAACAGTAATTTTGTCTAGGTTAAAGGGTATCTAAAATTTATTCCAAAATAAAAAAAAAAATTACAAAATTGTATAGATAAAATTAGATGATTATAAACAGTTGAGGAAAAGGAGAATTAAAAAATTTAAGATGCTACAAAGGTTTTTGAAAATCCTACTGTGTGTAGTCAAACCTGATATAAAACTAAAATTTGATTTTCTCTTTTAGACAAAATTTTAATTTTATAAAAGACAGTAAAAAGTTTCGTAAACTTCAAAAAAAGGTGGGGGAGAAAAAGATTCTGTGTGTTTCATGCTGTTTTTATTAGGTCTTTTGATTATTTTAAAAACTGAGTCTACTCTATTAAAGAGTAAACGTTTTTGCTTTTTGTCTAAATGAATGACTATTATTTTATAGTGACCTGTGATTCTATTTTAATCAAATGCTCTGAACCTTTGAGAGTTTTGAAAGTCTTCCCAAAATCAAATTTCAAAATCAAAATTAAATCTCTTTGACATCACCTAGTTTTAGAATGACCCAGAGGCCACGGAAGCATGTGAAACAGAGATAAGAAACATACTTATTTTATGTATAAAATTATATAGGAAGTGTCAAATAAGAAATGGTGTTTACTCTTCTTTGAGTTATGTTTATATGCATGTTTATTAATATGTGTTCCAAATTTGTTAGATTCTTAAAATTGTGATATGTCTTGGTATATGTCATTAGTCATAATTGTTATATAAATTTGTGGTAAGACACCTAAAATAACAAATTTTTCTTCTTAATTGTGTGTATAACCATGGCCATGTTGGGCCTTGTCCATAATTAATTGCTTTATTGTGTTGCTTTCTTTTTTTCTGAATGTTTTTTGCAAATATTAAAGTATTTTGTCTTCAAGGGGATTCACAGTAAGGATAGAAAAAAATGTAACAAATACAGAAACACAGGTTTCTGACAATTATGAAGTTATGTCTTTAGACTGGGTCAAAATTTCCAGAACTCTAATTTTAAGAACCTAGACTCATAAAATCACTAACCCAATATCAAACAAAACAATAATTGATGAAATAGAACTAAACTGATAAAGGACTGAAATGATATTTATGACTTTTTTGTTTAAAACATTGCCATTTCTTTTTTTCTCTCTCTCTCTCTCTCTTCAGCTATCTATAGCTTTACAGCAAGTTGGTAAAGTATGCTTTTGTGAGCAAAGTTAAAACACTGACCTTTCACTCAACCTGATCCCTCCAGAGGCAGAAACTGTGAGTATTCTTAGTTCATGGAAATATGCTATTTGCACAAGTTTAACGAGAATCTGTTTTATTTTATAACAGGACATAATTGAAAACACTGGTTATTTTACCAAGGCTTTGACTGGAATGTCATATTATCACAGATGACCAGACTGTCAGAAATTGAAGTTAAATTTATGGAGCCACTAAAAATCTCCTGGGAAAAAACTGGACTGATGCCTTAAATGTATGATTCACATGGTTGTCTTAGAGTTGGATAAAGAATGTCACTTCCTGGCAGGCCCAGGAATCTGAGGACATTTTGGGGATTCTCAAGAAGAGAGATTTTCACCCAATTCATAAAGGTATTACAAAGTCTGAGAGCAAGTCAAATTCTTGGCTTGGCTTTCCAGCTTTGAGAGACTTTCAGAAGTCTAATCTGAAATTCCTGATAAGTTACAGCAAAGCAAGCTTAAAAAGACTCTATACAAACAATCATCATTCTTGCAAGATGGAGGAAAATAATTAGGCCAAAGATGAGACATTTTGCAAATAAATTTGTCTTACAAATAATTTATCTATGGTAAAAATGGGGAAATCAGAGAAAGAAAAATTGTTTCAGGAAAAAAAAAGAAACCATAAGGCATTTGTTACTAAATTCCAGCCTGGTTCATTTGCTTTTGCTTTTGAGGGTTTTTTTTTTTTTCCTTTTAAATTATCTGGACTTAATCCTGAATATTCAGTTTCCTCCAATATTAGGCTATGACTCTCCAAACAAACATTTTCAATTTTTCTCCCACTCTCTGACTTGGGAATCACTAAAATTAAAATGGTCTTTTTCCTAAAGCCTTGCAAACTGAAACTAGTCACCTAGTTAATAAATAGGTTCCATAGAAATCATCATGATCCCTTGTGTATGGACAAACTTTGTGCTAAGAAAATCTATCAGATTGCTGCTGTCTGCCCCTCTTCAATTGAAGATGCTTCAGCTCAGATAAAAAAATCTTTGCATCTGACTGCCCTCCAGACTCTTGAAAAACTAGTTTATAGACGACTCCAGACATTAGCCTTTTTTTTCTGTTTCCATAGAAATGCCTCTTATTAAAGATTTGTTTTCCTGAATCCTATATAGAGACCTAGCTTTGAGAACCCATCTGCACCACTATCTCCTAAGATGAGACTCAACTGTTTAATTGGACTAGTCTATTCTCAGAAATAAAACTGACTTAATTGAGTGTGGAGAAAAGTGCTTAGATGACTTCTTTTCTATGTACTCATTCTAATCTATGTTCTTTCTTTGCAGGTCTCTCACCACTTGATTACTACCCTGACTTCTCTATCCATCACTACAAACCCTACTTTAATATGTGGAACTTTCTGAAAATAAGTTTTTAAACGGGTGACTGAAGGAAACCAGGCTATTTCACTCAGAAATATGGCTAAACTAAAGAAACAGTCACCAAGTCTCTCTGGCCTCTCTGCTACCCTGCTGTTGTCTTTCAATCCCCTGTCTCTCTCGAGCACAGGATTAATCTGTTCTGTGAAGTTCTCTTACTTTCCTAGAAACCAGATATGCTAAAGAGAAACAGAGTTGCCTTCTCTGAAATTTCATTAACCAGAAAAGATGAAAACTCATACTACAGGGGAGGTGAGTGAAAATTCAACACCACATTTAAAGCCCAAATTTTGTCCCAAACCAGACCCTCTGTTCCATTTAATTTCCAAAAAAAATTTATTAACCATTTTCTGAGGATTAGATCCATTCATTTCCCCAGTGAAAAGCATTTACTCTCCCTCAAGCTGCCACATCTCCCCTAACTCTTCTTCCCTCTGTAAAGAAGTCTATATACACATCTGTACCTCATTGAGTTATTGGATAATCATTTTTCTGTGATTTCCCCAAGGTATGCACATGAAAATAAATTTGTGTGCCTTTTCCTGTTAATTTGCTTTTTGTCTATTCAGTTTCAGTGACCCTTCACCCCTACACATGTAATAAATATGATAAATACAGTTAATAATCTTAGAGTAATTGTGAAAGCATAAAGCTAAAATAATGGCAATAATATTCTTTAGGAAAAAGTAAAGTTCTGCAAAAGAAAACTGTTGTTCAAAATAAATAGCAAATTATCATGGAGTTGATTTTGAAAAATTCATGAAAATAAAAACATAATTTATTTTATTTGTAATCATATACTTTGGGAAGAATGATGGGATATTAGGATTTAATATCTCTTTCTGAACAACCAGTAACTACTTTGTTCTGCAGTAAATATTATCCATATAATTTGGCAAGGCAACTTTTATTTCTTCCCAACTTTTGGGATCAGCCTACAGTTGGACCCTTACAGAAAGTATTTGATTGATTGTTAAATTATTTAACGATGTTTTAACTATGGCTAATTAGGTAATTACTGACTTATACTAATTTTCAGATGTCAATATATTTGTATGGTTTGGAATATATACATAAAGATTTACAACAACAAAAAAATCTCACTGGCAACTTTGTTTCCACTGCTTTTTTTTTTTTTTTTTTTTTTTTTTTTTTTTTCTTCTATTATTTGTAGGTAATCACTTGTTCTGTTTTGAGGGTGATCTTCACAGGAAATGGATTTTTTTTTTGGTAAAAAAATCAAATATATATTATTGCCATTTTCCATGAGATAATAAAATGTATTTGCTCTTTAAAAAAACACAATAATATAGATTTGATTATTTTAAAAGGCAATAATATATATTTGCTTACTTTCCTCATAATGATGACATATGGCACACAATTTACTGCACCTTGCTTTCTTTCACTTAGCAATGTATCGTGAAGCATGGGACATTATTACCATATACATTTGTATCTTTTTTTAAAAATAAGCTTAGTGTTCTATTTTGTATAAGTATCACAGTTTATTTCACATTTGAGAGAGCCATCTCGGTTGTTTCTAGGGTTTTATCATTACAGCTGATAACTTCAATGAATAACCTTGAATACTCTTGTCATTTCCCACCAATACATGGTGGAACTGCAGGGTAGCAGGAGACAGAAAAGGGACTTTCATGTGCACACCTTACATTACGGACAGGATGTCAAACAATACTGGTATATTCCATATGAAGAATGTTCATTATATCAATATTTAAGAAGTACAATTTCTGCATATTATTTTAAGTTAAATAAATATCCATAACATGTCTGTCAAAATTTTGTTAAGTAAATAGGAAAATGAAATAGGTATACTATACACGGTGCTAGAATGGTATTAGGAATAAAATTTATAACAATAAAATAATTAAAGCTGCTTTAAAACCAAGTTTAAAGTCTACATGTGTATATATATATATATATATATATACATATATATATGTAGACTTTAATATATAATATAGACACACACACACACAACACAATGGCTTGCACAGAGATAATTGACACTGTAAGTGATACTTCATTCTTAAAAGTAGTTATTTTTGATCACAGAGGAAGTTAGTCTTAGTGAAATAACTAGAAAACGAATGTTTCAGACAGGATATTTCCCTTAACATGTGAAATATGAACATATTGCAAATAGATCTTCAAGAATTATTATAGTACTTATTAAAAAATCATAGTGTTAATTTTCTCCAGTTTAATTATAGCTAATGTGTATACCTAATCATAAAGGTTAATAAATTATCTCTACCATTTGACCTTACTAAATCCCTCAAGACAGTTACATCAGGAAACAATGCCAGCCGAGAGGATATGAATGCTTTTTTTCAATTAGAACTGATTGAATTTTGGTTGATATAAACAAAGACAAACTCTCTATGGTGGTATAATAATCTGAGTTTGGGAACAAAGGCTACAGTGTTTGCAAAGTACCCATTAAATTGGTCTAAAAGTATTTATTAAGGATTACAGAGTGCAAAGCACTAATCTAGATATTTGAGTATGACGTCAGGTAGAGGTTATTAAATAAAAATTATGACTACAAAATTATGAAGCTGAATGTGCCTTTAGAAGATGCTTTAGACTACTTCCTGGAAGAAATTAAATTTTATATAAAAGGACAATATCTTTGTTATTTAGGACATTTAATGTTATACAAACATTTACAAAATACATTTAGATTTTGAAATACATTTATATTTTAAAATAATTTAAATATATAATTAAGATGTTCTTGCCATGCAAATTGAAATACCATGCAAATTAAAATACAATTAAAATATCGATAATATCTGTTTCTGCCTTAAACCAGTAGCTATTTCATGCTTAATGTATAATTCTGTTCAGGTTTTTTCATTTTCATATGAAAAAAAATAATATATATATATATATATTAGAGACAGGATTTCGCCATGTTGCCCAAGCTGGCCTTGAACTCCTGGGCTAAAGTGATCCTCCCACCTTGGCCCCCCAAAGTGCTAGGATTACAGGCATAAACCACCATGCCCATAATATATATTTTTTATTTTTATTGTGATTAAACATATATATTATGGGCATGTTGGTTTATGTAATAGAAATGTATGATTCTTACATGGATTCCGAACCATTTACATTGTTTCAGAATGTTATAGTGTTATCAGTTTGCCTCTTTATTTTTTTCCCTTCCTTAAAAAGTCACCAATTTATACCTTTCTTACATGTGTCTCTCCAGTCTTGTGTTCAGGAGACTTCAACAAAATATCTGTATTTTGAACAACTAAATGTACTAAAATTAGGTATTCCTATGATTTTTACTTAATCACCTTTGCTGTTATCACTGGTAATTATATAGTTAGATTTTTCCTATAACTATTTGTATATATTATTTTTGGTTTACAATATCTTTTATTACAATTATCTAATAAAAATACCTTAACATTTTTTAGGGACACCCTCTAGCGCTTCTCATCTTTAAGAAACTCAGTTCTCCCTGATATCTTGTTAAGACTTAAATGACCAATTTTCCAATTGCTGATTGAATTTTCAGGAGGTACTTCAGTAAATAATTTTACAAGAGAACATCATATATGTCATGACAGTGCTTCCTGGTTATGTTTATTCTTCTTCTTATGCTCATAATTTTAGTAAATGTAGATTTTACCTGATAATCATCACCTGCATATGACTCATTACACTAATGTAATATTAGGAGTTATTGATGAAGAAATGCAACATATGATAGGCCAAATTGGCTGATCCAAATTTGATACATTCAGTGGCTCATTTAACAAATGACATTTCTAGACATGTCTTAGGCTAAACTGCAAAAATAAAAAATAAAGACAAAAACAACAAAAAAACCTTTCATTATAAATTCACCTAAAATTAAAACGATGTAGCCCTCTTCAGTCAAGATCAGTTTGTGATCACACCATTGCACTATACAAATAGTAACGTTTTATCCTGCACTGTAATTGCTTTGCTGACTTGCTGTTATAGGGTTTTTTATAAAATATAGGTTTGTTTGATGGCAAAACAAGTAGTTGGTTATAATATAGTCATCATTTTCTTGTTCTAGTTATATTATTCAGTTCCTATCTAGGAGGAAAAAGAAACTGTAAAATTTAAAATCTTCCTTTCACCACAAATTTCCCTCTTACCAGCACTCTCATCTTTTCTACCTTCACTTCTTCATTTTCTCATACCTACTGCAAACCTAGTTATCTCACGTGTATTTTACCCATCTTCTTTACAAGCAGTCAATTTCAAGGCCATCAATCACCTCTCATTAAAAAAACTACCCAGTTTGTATTCAGTTTCCATTTTGCTTAATTTTTCACAGCCTCTGTCATAGAAAACAACTCTGTATTCTCCTTCATACTTCCTCTCTTGTTTCCTATGACATCCATCTCTGCAGGTATTCCTTCTGCCTTGTGTATACTTCCTGGCATTTTTTGAATCCTATTCTCCAGCCACTGCTTAAATGATGCAGTTCCATGGGTTCTAACACATAGCTTCACACTCTCACTCTGCATTCCTCTTCAGAGTATGTCCATCCCCACAGCTTTGTTTTTCATGAAATAGTAAATGAGCACCTACAGTACATGAGGTATTGTTCTGGTCATTAGAACTAGAACAGTTGTAAGATTAGTCAGTAATTTCTGCCCTGATGTAGCTTATGCTCTAAAAGAGAGAGACGCTACGTAAAAAAACAAACGAATAGATAAAACCTATAATACACTAAATGATATGTGTCATGGTGGAAAAAAAGGAGAAAAGGGATAAAGAATGTCATGGGGTTGGAGAGAAGGGACTAAAGTTTGCTATTATTAAGTAATATTATGTAGCAGGGTGTCACTGATAAGACAACATTTGAGCAGAAAGAGATAAGAGTGGGAACTATGGAAATATCTAAGGGAAATCTGTTTCTCATAGAAAATCCAGTTAATGCAAAGGCCCTGGGCCAGGAATATTCTTGGAGTATGATATTATGTTTGAGAAACAGCAAGGAGAACAATGAATCTTGAGCTGAATCAGCAATTCTTGAGGATCTAGAATGTCATTGTAAAGTCTTTACCGTTTAAGTGAGCTAGGATGTCACTAGCTCATGTTTAATTGGAGTGTCTTGTGCATGGAAATGACAGGATATAATATGTATAAAAAGGATTAATCTCTTGAGAACTGATGAAGTGGGGCAAAAGTAGAGTAGAAATATAACTTAGGGTGATTGTACA